TTTTCAGGGGTTAATAATTCCAGTGGCTGAAATTACGGACTAGAGCGTGAGAATCAAGCATAAGGTAGTTAAATCAGTCAAGTTACATTTATATTTTATTGAGAATGTGACAGGAAACTTGCGGACTGTGATACTAGGGATGGATGTATGTTAAGCATTGTAGTTTGGTCATATCAACTAAGCTGAAATTGTAAATTGGCCACCGTAAAGAGTCAAAGCTGACGTTTCGAGCGTTATCCCTTCATCAGAGCGAATGGAGGAATTGTGAGTTGTGTGTGGGTTTAGCACCACAGTTTCCTATGTTAAACGTAGACTTCGATATCTCTTGTTTGCTTGATATTGTGTATGTATTGTTAGAAGAAATTTTGTCTTCATCACTCGTGGGAATTGAGTGTTTGAGTGAAGTAAGTTTATGCAAAGGATAATTTCATTTCGTAAAAATTATCAATTGATCAGAGATTATAGATTCGTTAAGATGAAGATAACTGTACTCCGCAAAGTCAAACAATTTGATTACGACAGGCTTCTTCAAGATCGTGTAGTGCAAGCGTTCGATTTTAAGCAGAGATTTAGTATAGAGGAAAATTATTTGAATCACATTTGTAGTTTTGAAGAAATGTCGAAGATAACCCAACACTCTATCTAATTGAACAATTTAATTTTGAACTTTGAATAGTTTTTGGAGATAAACTTTCTGTTAGATAATTGCCCATACTTTTTGAAGAAATGTGTCTGTGGGCTCTCAGAAAATAAAAACCCTAAGGCAAACGTAAAATCTCAGAGTAGAAAGTTTGAGAGCATTTAGTCAAGTAATACATTTTTTGGATAGATGATAAATATGCAGTATTTCATGGCGGAAAAAATATGCTACTGTTGTACCGCGGTAGTTTTTTTTTTTTTCGTGAAGGACAGGAAACTTTTCTTGAGCGTCCCCGAAGGGTTATTTTATTGTAACTGCTCTCCTAATTCCAAGAAAGAGACAAGAATTTTACCTTCACGTACACCTTTGCGAGAATACTACAGAGAATAAACAGAAGGAAAGAGTTCATCTTAGACGGGTGAGGTTGTGAACTATCTCAATTTTCACTAAATTATATTACGGGCAGGTTTCTGGGTAACGATCTCAGTTATTACGATACATACATACATAGACTTTATTTCAACTCGAATTTTCAGAGTAGCTCTGTTGAACTAATATCTTTCAGAAAGAAAAATACACAAGTCTGTCAAATTATAAATAGAACTACTACCAATACAATGATAAAAAAATTACTACTAAAAGTTCATTTTTCTTGTGGCTATCTTAAAATCTTTAAATGATGTAATTGTTCTCATGCTATCTGGGAGCGAATTCCAAGTTTTTGCTGCTTGATAACGGATGCACTCAAGATCAATTTTGTTGATTTTGGTATAGGTAGAGTCAGGATATTCTTTCCTCTCGGTGAATAACTGGAATTACTAAGAACAAAAAGTTCCTTTAGATATCTAGGATACATAGAAACAAATAAGCTCTTGAAAACTACCATCAGAGTTTTGTAAAGGCGGTCCCATCATTTCTTTTCGCACCAGCTGTTCCCAGCTAAAAAAAAAAAAACCTATGATATTGACGTGGAAATAAAACTGTCAACTGAAAAATTATAAAAATGTCGCACGAGAGAGATCACGAAATGTGTTTCGTTAGAAACTATAGCTGTTCATCAGTAAAATCATAAATACAGGGAGAGTTGAAGTTGTGCAGCAAAATCAAGGTCCTCCTCTCATACCCTCAGGTTGCGCGATGTAGTGTCTTTAAAATTAACTTTTTAATAGCAGGTTAATTAATAGAAAATAATCTCTTCGTACGCGTTGATGGACTGAAGCAAGACCTCGTCAGTCCGCAAACACTATGATAATAGACACGCAGGCAGGATTGCGGATGACTTTCACAGTTGTTTTAAGGTGTTAAAAACATTTCTCGTCAATGAGATGTTACTCATTACAATTACGACCGTGTTTGAACGTACAATCAGACTCAATTCGTGCTAAGGTCTTTGCCTGACCTATGCAAATTAGTGACTCTGGATTCTTAGTTACTCTTGAGATCGCACATATAATTGAGTTTTCCTTGACGCCAAGATGTCGCCGAAACGTCGGACTTTTATCGTTAGGTTTTGGCTGTATATGTTTATCGAAATCATTGTTGATTGGATCTTTTTAAAAAAGAAAATACTTTTCTTAATGTAGATTGCCCTTTTTCAATCAAAGCACAACAGTCTTTACCTTTGTAAGCAAGCGTTCACAAAGCATAACACCTTTAGATTTCTCTTTGGTCGAGTTCGTTTTGGCACGTTTGCTCCAACAGTCCGCATAAAACAGAATTATTTTTATTTTATTAGTGTCGTGAGCGTGAGGGGGATATCGTGTTCAACTTTTCAAAAGGATTTCTTGCAGGAGAGATACCGATATGTATCTATAATTGTATCTATAATTATATCTATATATCGATATTGTACCATTTATGTTTTTCAGGATA